CGTACGATCAAAAATCGAGATTTAACGGCTAAGATTAAGAGTTGTAGATTTTCTTATCCAAATACCAACCGTATGATTCTTATTTCAAGATTTAACGGCTATGATTAAAAGTAGTAGATTTTCTTATCCAAATACCAACCGTATGATAAAAAATCGGGATTTAACGGCTAAGATTAAAATTTGTAGATTTTCTTATCCAAATAGCAACCGTACAATTCTTATCTGAAGATTTAACGGCTATGGTTAAAGTAATAGATTTTCTTATCCAAATACCAACCGTACGATCAAAAATCGAGATTTAACGGCTAAGATTAAAAGTTGTAGATTTTCTTATCCAAATACCAACCGTATGATTCTTATCTCAAGATTTAACGGCTTTGATTAAGAGTAGGATATTTTCTTATCCAAATACCAACTGTACGATAAAAAATCGAGATTTAACGGCTAAGATTAAAAGTTGTAGATTTTCTTATCCAAATACCAACCGTACGATTCTTATCTATAAAAATCAATATTAAGTGGCTCATACTAAAAGTTGCAGATTACTATATCAGTATTAATACAGAGATTTTCTCACAATTTTTCATTCCTTAACTCTTGTATTTTCCAGAAAATTATGAATCTCAATCACATTGGTACTTCTTATGTATTTTCTTCTTCAAGTTCATCTGATGACGAACTTGAACAACTACTAGATAGTTATGATACAGAGCAGCATATGATAGCACAACAAATTTACAACAATAATATTGTTGTACAAGAATTTCTTATAACTCAACAAGGTGGTCGAAGCCATGGAGGTTCTGTTCCTGGTCGAAAAATAATATTTCGAGATCGAGAAGCAGCTGCACATCGTCTTTTTAACGATTATTTTTCCGAAAACCCAAAATTTAATGAATCCATGTTTCGTAGACGTTTTTTGGATGTCTAGAAATTTATTTTTTTTCGTATAGCAAATGCAGTTAAAAATCATGATGATTATTTTTTGCAGCAATGAGATGCAGTTGGTAGACTCGGATTGTCGACATATCAAAAGTTAACTTCTGCACTTCGGATAATAGCATACGCCGTACCAGCAGATGTGACAGATGAATACATAAATATAGGCGAGTCCACTGCAATAGAATGCATGAAGAAATTTTGTCGTGCTATTGTAGAGATTTTTGGAGAGCAACGTTCTCCCAACACCAATGACATTGCAAGACTCCTTCATATCGGTAAGCAACGTGGCTTTCCAAGAATGTTGGGTAGTCTAGATTGTATGCATTGGCGCTGGAAAAATTGTCCAACGGCTTCGGCAGGTGCGTATAGAACGTAGTAAATCTCCAACTATTATTCTAGAAATTATAGCCGATTATGATCTTTGGATATGGCATGCATACTTTGGATTGCCTGGATCCAACAATGATATTAATATGTTAGAGAGATCCCATTTATTCTCTGACCTTACTCGAGGAACTGCCCCTCCAACACATTATGTCATCCAAGCGAAAGAGTACAACATGAGGTATTATTTAGCAGATAATATATATCCCAAATGGTCAACTCTTGTCCAAACTATTCGCGAGCCACGTAGTAAAGAAAAAACAATATTTTACAATGAAACAAGAAACATGCAGAAAGGATGTTGAGCGTGCATTTGGAGTACTCCAAAGTCGATTTGCTATTGTGGCTAATCCTGCCCGATTTTGGAGTAAAGTTGACTTACAAGATATAATGACTGCATGTATTATTTTGCATAATATGATAATTGTAGATGAACGAGATCTCGATGCACCGATTGAAGCTACGGTGGAGGCCCCTGTAACGCCCCGTTTATTTGTGAAATATTTGGGATTATTTGTTTACTTATTTATTTCATTAATATTATTACTATTGTTAGTATTAAATGCCTTATTTGTCT